CCCCAAAACCCCAAAACCCCAAAACCCCATAGAGTTAGAATCGAAAATTAAATCATTAAGTTTCAAAATAATCACGTTCTTCTATAAAACTTATTTCGAACGGATTTTTAATAAATAGCCCTGATTTTTATTTCCTAACAAACGGGTGATTCAAAAGCTCTTCGGCAGTAGATCTTTTTGAGGGATCCAATTTAAAGCACTTATCTATGAAATTAATGAGTTCTATGCTTAGCGGTCGACTCTCTTGAATATTCAATTATAATTTTTTCTCTTTCATCAATTTTTTGAAACTTGCTCTGAATAATTTCAAATCAATATTTGGTATTTTTTCTGCATTTACTTGTAAGTTTTTCACCTCTGGATCCAGATGCCCGAAATCTTGATTGAGAATTTAGTTTAAAAAAGGATATCTCTTGAATACTAATAAATGAGTGATTACTCCGATTGCCCAGATATCACTAGCTTTAGATACTTATTATATGTCATTAAATAACTGTTCTGGAGAATAATAGAATAATGATCCTCCTTTCGCTACTTCTAAGTCATCATATTTTCTCTTTGTCATGATAGCAAAGCCAAAATCACATATAGCAATTTCACAGTGACTTAAATCAGCAGCATTCTTTTTAGTTTTTTCTTAATCTGAAGGGTCGTGAATTAAAATGTTTTGTATCTTTAGATCTGAATGAACTATATTTATTCTGTGAATATCTACTAATCCTCTCACTACACTTCCTATAACATGAGCTATAGTTCCCTCATCTGGTATCTCTTCACTTTCAGCATATTATTCTAAATAATTCTATAAATTTCCTCTATTATAGAATTTTTGGATGAGATAGCAGGCCTTACCAGTATAAATTTATTCTACAGGAGCTTCAACTATATTCTTATTATGATCTAAGGCTTATACCAGTCTTATTTCCTCATTAAGCATTTATTTGAATTAATCTTCTTTACTGACATTAGATTTCTAATGCTAAAATCTTTCCAAGTCTACAATCTTCGCTGCATATGGAATTTTATCTTTGACTACTTTATAAACCCATGCTTGGCCTCCTTCATCTAGAAATTTTTCAACACAATAGTGCTATTTGAATGTCAAATAATCTAACGCTTCTTGTTTTCTTTAATCTCCTTTTTGTTCCATTTTTAATGTTAATTATTGATCAAATCTTAAAAAATTTCTATTCTCGGGGTTTTGGGGTTTTGGGG